GTTCATTTATTTTGTCAATCTATTTTTTCTCACATCCGTCACAAAAACTGGTAGCAAAGCTTCGGGTTGAATCTGGTGAGAAGATGTTTGAGATGAACATGAAGATCGACAAGTTTACTAGAAAGAACAGTTTCAGTCTCTGGCAAATCAAGATGAAGGCGTTGCTGAAGAAACAAGGTCTTTGGGCACGGTTGTTGGGGAAGAAGGTTGAACCTATTACACCATAGATGGAGGTTACTGAAGAAAAGACGTATTCAACTATTTTGTTGAGTCTAGAAGATGAGGTCATCATCGAGTTTTTTGGTGTTAATGTTGCAGCTGATTTGTGATCTAAGTTGGAGAGTCTCTACATGAAGAAGTCTCTAATTAAGAAGCTACTTCTGAAATAACGTCTTTTCGCTCCAAAAATGCAAGATGGTATCCAACTTCAGGATCACCTTGATAGTCTAAACTCCATTATGTTGGATCTAAGGAATATTGACGTTAAGGTGGGGGATGAGGATGTGACACTGATTTTGTTGTTGTCACTCCCTAACTCATATGAGAACTTTGTTCAGTCATTCATAGGCAGTAAGGATACAATGAGTTTGGAAGAAATCAGATCGGCACTTCACAGTGGGGAGTTGCGTCACAAGGCATCAAGTTTTGTTACATATGACCAAGCTTTTGGGTTACTTGTAGGTGGTGGAAAGAATTTTGAGAAAAACAAGAGGTCAAAAGACAAAAGGTCGTCTACAAAGAGTCCTCAATTGATATTTACAATAATTGCAATGAAAGAGGACATTGGAAGTTTGATTGTCCTAAGAAAAAGAAGAAATAAGCTGACTGTGCTGCTGTAGTAAAGAATGAAGCTAAATTTAATCTGATGACGATATTGCTTTAATTGCTCATGAAAAAACACATTGTGGGTTCTTGACACATGAGTATAATTATCATTTATTTTTTTAATGAAATTTCTTTTTATCATTTTCTCGTGTGTTTTTTAGTTATTTTCTTAGGTCATTTGGAGATATTTATCATTATTCTTTTTACATCCATGACTTAAACAAAGTTGTACGTCTCCCAACATTAAAGCAAACAATGATATCATCACCACGATTGGAAGTTGTAGCAATATATTAGAAAACACCGTTGATAGATTTAAAATTAGACCGTGGAGCAGAATGTTACATTTGTCCATTCTCCATGTCATGTTCACGTCACCTTCCAATGTCAACATTTGATTCACCTCAGTTTCATATGTTCCCGTAATAGCCAACACCTTGTAATTGCATGGTGGAGGGAGACATGCGCTTAAATCTTTAGATTGTTTGAACATGCAAATTAGTTCCACTATAAATATCAACTGCTTAGTAAACAAAATGTACATTTTGCGGTTTTGCGTTTTTTTGATTTAATTAAAACGCTTCGCATGACATAAAATTAGTTTGTGGGTCATTATTTTAATGAAAAACAGTAAGGCGCTCTTATTGTCTATGAAAATATTAACTATAAGCCAACATATAAACAAACTAGGCATGCGGGTTTGGTTTTTGTTATTTCAGTTTGCTTCGGTTATAATTGTGGTGAATTGCACAAAAACAAATTGAGCTGAATTTTACTTAAGTTAGTTTGGTTTATAAAAACAAATTGAGCCTACCTGCCAATCCTCCATTCCTGTAAGGATTCATTTTTTGATTGGATTTTTGTTTAAACTGATTAAAAATCGAATAATTTTGGTTAGTGCGGAATGAAATTTGGTAACTAGTTAGTCCGGTTCTTAATTTTGTTTAAATTCATATGATTTGCTTTAAATTTATAGAATTTGATTTAGCTTATTTTTTTTTTTTTGGCAAAAAATCCAAACCTTTCTAATAAAAAATGCTTAACTGAACGAACTTTAAACTATAAATCATAAATCAAAAATCCAAATTTTTTGGTTCAGGTCAAATTCGTAGGACTTATATAAACAAAGAGGCATGGAATTTTCTTACGGTCCACGGAAATGTTCTAACAGTTTTCTTGGATCCAATTCAGCTTCATTAATCTATAATCTTCCTGAAGTGTTTTTCGCTTGTAACTCAAGTTATCTAGTTCATCTTAAGTGATAGTATTTGATCGTTTGTTGTTTACAGAATGTAAAAGACACAGGAATTATAGTTTCCAAGGCTATTAATTAAGCCAAGGTATGTCTCGGAGATCACGGAACAGATCATACAAACTTGATACCAAAACAGAGACCTTCACCAAGCTCACACCTCTCTTGTAAGCTCACGTCTCACCAGAGAATACAACAATGAATCTAAGAGTACAAACACGATGAAGACGATGATCACACACCCAATCTCACGTGTTACTCTCACCCATTCATTCAGTCTATATCCTTAAGGTATCGTACGTCCTTATCTTCATTCCGTGTCTCTTACACCGTTGGACTGAATCACGTTCTGATTCACTTGATTCCTTGCGACTTCCAGCTCACCGAATCTCCAACAACTTTGTACATGGCATGTTCATCACACTAAGCGTGAACAGCCAAAACGCAGAGTATCCGAAGTCTTCGGGCTTCTGCAAATGATGAACTCTTCTACTGGGCTTCCACATAAACTTGTCTCGGCCCAATCCTCTCATTACTTAGCCCATTTGTAAACGAGAAAAGTGCAAACCATTAACCGACCCTATCCTTCTCCAATATTTCTGTTTCTGGATTATACTAGTTCTTTGTTATGGTTACGTTTCTTCAACTTGGATTATGGACTTCTCGATTGTCTAATGCTGCCAGACAATGACTTGGATGATGGGAAAGTAGTCCAAGAGATTCATATACACAACATACAAAGCGGAAAGTCATATGACTGTGAGACAAGTTTTCATCAATATTTTGAGGTTGAAGTGGGGAGAAGTTCACCTCACTCTCTTTTTGGAATGCAAACAATAGCTTTGGGAGAGCCAAAGATTTAGTAACAAATGTGTTAGTGAAATCAAACTGCTAAGAGCTGAGCGCAATGCTGATGCTCTAAGGATCGTCAGAGACATTCTGCCGCGGTGATTTCATGGTGGAGGTAGACGCTTTAATCTTTAGACCGTTGGAAAATACAAAGTAACCCAACCGATGACTGTAAATATCAATTCCTTAGTAAATAAAATGTACACTTCACGTCGATGGTTTAGTTAAAACGACTTACATGACTTAAAATTAGTTTGTATGTCATCATTTAATTGAAAAATGGTAAAATGTTCTTGTAGTCCACGAAAATGTTCACTATAAGTGTAACATGCAAACTAGGCATGGGGGTTCAGTATTTGTTAGTTCGGTTTTCTTTATAATTGTGCCGTATTGCACCAAAAACAAATATGGTGTGGTTCAGTATTAAGTTAGTTTGATTTGTGAAAATTCTATCAAATTTAACTGAATTTCTGGTTTAGTTAAATTTTTAGTTTAAATTAATTAAAATCCTTTAATTTCAGTTATTCCAAATAGTTTGGATTGAAATTTTGGTTACTTTAGTTAGTTTGTTCATAATTGGGATATAACTGGTATGAGCTCATTTATTTTAGTTTTAGTTTTGTATTCTTAAACCATACCGATAATTAAACTTAAAAAGTCCTGAACGTACCGAACTTTAAACTGAACTTAACCGTAAATCAAATACCAAATTTTCTAATTCAGGTCAAATCAGCAGACTAATACAAACAAAGAGGCATGAAATTTTCTTGCAGTCAACGGAAATGTTTTTTTTTTAACTGTCTTTTAAGTTAACAAAAATGTTCTAACAGATTTCATTTGTTAAGCAACATTCATCCATAATGTTTCCTTCTCCAGTATATAAAAAGCCCTGTTTCTGGTCTATACTAGTTCTTTGCTCTGGTTACGTTTCTTCAACTTGGATGATGGACTTCTTGACATCTCTTTGAATGCAGCCAGACAATGACTTGGATGATGGGGATGTCGTCCAACAGATTCATAGACACAACATACACTTCATGAGTAAAAGACATTAATTAAGACTATCTTATCAAATATAGTTTCGGCTGCTATCATAATTTAAAATGTCTTTAAATATATCTTTTAGAATCCTCCATTTTAATATAAATTAAAGAAAAATTCAAATAATCCATTATCAAGACCCTAATGTTAATCCAAAAAAAAAAAATCCTCATATTTAAATAGACGAACTCAGAGGAGTGTTAACCTATAATGCCCTAGTGGCCAAAAATCAAACTCAAGAAAATACATGTGCACCAACATAACTTGAAACTCTCATTGGTAGGACATGTACCCCAACGGCATACAGATTGTCTAGTATCGTTAGAAGGAATATGGAGAGTTTGAGAAAGATGTAGGAAAAGTGTATTGTTGATTTACACAAGTCAATTAAATTTTCTATGGTAATAAGATAATCTCTAATTATAACTTAACAATATGGGCCGTTAAATGTGGGCCTAAACTGGGTCCCACGGGTTACAAACAGATGCTTTGATTACATGACTTCATGCTCGAACAACAAAAAAAAAACCTCTCTTTAGTCACTCCTTTTTCTTCTTCTGTCTTAACTTTTTCTTTTCGTTTTGTGTTCACAATCTATTCTATTCGATCGATTTGATACGAAAAGAGAAGAAAAACAAGAAGATGACTTTCTGGGAATGGTGTGATCTCTAGTTTTGGGTTTTCTTTACCTTTAGGAATCTGTCTCCTGTCCAATCATGGTTTCTTGACATTTTTTTTCTGTTTAATAATTCGTTGCTTTGTCGTAAAATTTCACTTTAGTTCAAGCTTATGCCTGCAAGGTGTTTGCTTTTATTCCTCATGGAACCCGAAGTTTGCCGAAAAGAGAAAATAACTTGTTACTGTTGAACTGTTGTCTTTTGCTCTGTTTTCTTACTTGAACTGGTAATAATTCTTTTCTTTTATTTTTGTATTACTTTCTCAATTTGATTCCTACTCCTCTCTTAGATCTTGTCTTGATTTTCTCCTAATTCTACAGGTCACAAATTTGATTTTATATTCTCTAGTTCTTACCATGAGACTGATTATTGACCCATCTGTGGCTATAACTGCATTGGTTGTGGCCATTCTGGTGGTTCCAATGGGTTGCCAAAGGCCTAAAGTGGTGAACCTCGGAGCTGTTTTCGCTTTTGACTCCATTATCGGAAGAGCTGCTAAAGTAGCTCTTGAGGCAGCTGTCTATGATGTTAACGCTGACACAAGCCTTCTCAAAGAAACTGAGCTACGGCTGTTTATGGAGGACTCTTCCTGCAATGTCTTTCATGGGTCCTTTGGAGGTACCATTCTTTTTTAATTCTTTTTTTAATGTTTCAGTAATTTGTGACCTTCATCCATGGATGGCCCCACTAAATACCTTCCATTTCGGGACAGACCGTCTTATTGACTTCGCTTGGTCTTGATTTTGGGTCCAAAGTGGATTATTCCTCATTTTGTGGCATCAAAGGCTATAGTTTATACTTAGATAGTAGATTGGTAGGACCTAACACATCTGGACCAATTAGAGTTAGTTAAAGAAAAGTACCATCAAAGTCTCGTTTTATAAACTCACATAAGATATATCCTAAATGATTGGTACATCTATTATGTTATGTGTTGAACCTGTTATTATGGGTAGATGTTTTGGGTTCCAAATGCTAACAATACGTAGAACATAATAGAACTCAGGCCCAGTACAGGCTGTTACTTACTAGAACATTTGTTTCCTTTATGTAACTGGAAGCTTGACTTTGGCGTTACTGTTAATGGCTTGGTTTAAGTTGTTTTGCAGCTTTTAAAGTGCTTGAGAAAGACGTGGTGGCTATGATTGGTCCACTTTCATCATCCATCGCTCATACATTATCAGATATTGCCAAAGGGCTCAAGTTTCCTCTCGTCTCATTTGCAGCAACTGATCCAACTCTCTCTGCCCTCCAGTTTCCCTTCTTTCTTCGGACTACACCTAATGATGCCCACCAAATGTCCGCCCTTGTGGATCTTATCAATTTTCATGGATGGAAAGAGGTGATATCAGTATACTCAGATGATGAGCTAGGAAGAAGCGGAGTTTTTGCTCTAGATGATGAATTGTACAAGAAAAGATCAAGAATCTCCCATAAAGTGCCGCTCTCAGTGCATTCTGATGAAGGCACGGTTACTGATGCTTTGAGAAAATCCAAGTCCCTCGGTCCTCGAGTCTATGTTCTTCATTTTGGTCCTGACCCATTGCTCAGAATCTTCAGGATAGCGAAAAAACTGCAGATGATGACACATGAATATGTTTGGCTCGCCACAGACTGGCTCTCAGTTACCTTAGATTCTTCTTTGAGTGACAAAGGTAGTTTAAAACGTCTTGAAGGAGTAGTGGGGCTTCGTCAATACATCCCAGAATCTGTAAAACTGCACCAGTTCACACATAAACTAAAAAGCAACATAACAATGAATGCCTATGCGTTACGTGCGTATGATACAGTGTGGATGATTGCATACGGCATCGAGAAAATGCTGAATGAAGGAATCAACATAACATTCTCTTACTCCGAGGAGTTAATTCATGCACAAGGAAGTAAATTGCACCTGGAGAGAGTAAAAATGTTCAACAATGGGAAGGTACTACTTGAGAAACTTCTGCAGGTGAACTTCACTGGTATAGCTGGCCAAGTTCAGTTTGGTTCTGGTCGAAATGTCATCGGCTGTGACTACGAGATCATCAATGTAGACAAAACTGGTGTAAACACTGTGGGTTTCTGGTCTAAAAATAGAGGATTTTCAGTTGTACCTCCTGAGTCCCGACACACAAAAAATAAGACTGGCTTAGTTTCTGATGAAAAGCTTGGTAACATAACCTGGCCTGGTGGTGGCCATGAAAAGCCGCGTGGTTGGGTCATTGCAGACTCTGCAAGTCCATTGAAGATTGTTGTCCCGAAAAGAGTGAGCTTTGTCGAGTTTGTGTCCGAAGAAAATAACAGTAGCCATCAGATTAAAGGACTTTGCATCGACATTTTCAAGGAAGCGCTCAAGTTCGTCCCTTACAGTGTTCCTTACATATTTGAGTCATTTGGAGATGGCCACTCAAGTCCTAATTACAACCACATAATTCAAATGGTCGCGGATGGAGTAAGTACCCACTTTTAAAAATCTACAAAACTGATTGCAAAAGCCTCATGGATCACTTGAACATTCTCAGGTATATGATGGAGCTGTTGGGGATATTGCAATAGTCCCCACCAGGTCCAAATTAGTAGATTTCTCGCAGCCATATGCTTCCACAGGCCTTGTTGTGGTGATTCCGAATAACGACGACAATCCAACTTGGATCTTTCTGAGACCCTTCACCATTGGGTTATGGTGTGTCGTATTAGCTTCGTTCCTGATCATTGCCGTAGTCATCTGGATCCTTGAACATCGCATCAATGAAGATTTCAGAGGGCCACCCCGTAAACAACTCATCACAATGATCTTGTACGTCCAATTCGTAATATTCACTGAACTTGATGGTTCCTTCTTAGAGTTTTCTCTGACATTTCTAGTATGATTTTCCCTTGCAGGTTCAGCTTCTCAACTCTTTTCAAGAGAAATCGTGAGTAGACTCAGTCTTATCCATCTTTCTTTACGATTCTAAATCTGTCTAATACATATTTGACTCTAGATTTGTTTTCTCTATCAACTCATAACTGCGATCTTGCTGCTTTGTCTTGTTTTTGTCAACAGAGGAAGATACGATAAGCAATCTAGCTAGACTAGTGATGATTGTATGGCTCTTCTTATTGATGGTCCTAACCGCGAGCTATACAGCGAATCTCACCTCAATCCTCACAGTCCTACAACTTCCTTCTGCCATAACCGGCATTGACAGCTTGCGGGCAAGTGAGGTGCCTATTGGTTTCCAGGTTGGGACGTTCACTTTAGAGTACTTAACCTACAGTCTTGGCATGGCTCGGTCTAGGCTGGTCCCACTTGACTCAACTGAGGAGTATGAAAGGGCTCTAAAGCTAGGACCAACCGCTTTCGGAGGCGTAGCTGCCATTGTTGACGAGCTCCCTTACGTTGAGCTGTTTCTTGCGGAACGGACGGGTTTCAAGATTGTCGGAGAGCCCTTTATGCACCGTGGTTGGGGATTTGTAAGTTCATTTATTACGTTTCTCTTAATCAGAAGAGCACAAAAAGATTTTGACATTTTTTGTTTGTTTAATAGGCGTTTAAGAGAGATTCTCCACTGGCTGTAGACATGTCAACAGCGATCTTGAAACTCTCCGAGACGAGAAAACTGCAAGAGATTCGGATGAAATGGTTGTGCAAGACGACTTGCGCAGAGATATCAGATGGGAACCCAGAGCCAAACCAGCTTCATGTCAAGAGCTTCAAAGGGTTGTACCTTGTCTGCATTGCAATCTCGGTCTCTGCGGTTTTGGTGTTTGCTTTCAGGATGATACGCCAGTTTGTGCGGTACAGACGGATGGAGCGGACAGGCTCGATGCCGCTCGCTTCTTGGTCGTCTTCTCCTACTATGCGTTTAAAGGAATTGGTGTTTGGTTTCGTGGAGTTTGTGGATGAGAAAGAAGAAGCTATCAAGAGAATGTTCAGAAGGAGTAATGACACTGACAACCCATCTCATGTTGTGGAAGTTCAAGCTGATCCTGAGGTACGACAAAACTGATGAGTAGATTTCACTTTTATAGAAAGAAAATTGTTATGTTATTATTAGATATGAGCTAACATGCAAGCCAACATTCAGATCTGTATTCTTTAGATTTGATTGTAACTTGGAACATAAAAAGGTGGCAAGAGCCAATGATTATTAACATGATTGTAGCTCTATACAAATTCTAGAGTTAATATAATTCTCAAAAACTATCTCATTCTCTTTTTTTGGCAATCTTCTTTCTTTTTTTGATTTGCTTATGTTAAGGGAAATTATGTGAGATAGCTATAAATAAAAACTAAATTCACTAACTAACTAAAAATCCTAATAAACCCTTATATTAATATGTCTATAATAATTGCCACGTTCTGACAAGCACGAGCGTATGACTTTTTTATTTATCCAACTTGTTGGAGCTTTTATCTTATTATGCAGGTTTTGGTATGCTATCTTGTTTTGTCTTACCAACTCTTTGCTAATTTATGATTTATTTATATTATTTTATTGCCATCATCCATGGCGTTCTGCTCGTTGAACTGAATTATTTAATGATTAGTGTTTATTTGTTAAATTATTAATTATTTGTTCCGTTGTTTCTTTCTGAACCATCTCTGAGATAGTTTCAGTTCTGTGACTTATGCAGGCATTGATCGTTACAGAATCAAAGATAGTTTACACATTTTTATCATGTATGTAAAATCTTAGTCTTCGTTTCATTACCCAACAAGTTGTCATGACACCTTTTGTCTTTTTGTCTGACCCATTACTTTTCTCTTGACGTTGATTTTAATGGTAGCCAGTGCCTCTTCGATTGGGTTTCTTTTCTTTTGACTCCGAATGCTCATATAGTTAATATGATAATATGAGCCTGTAAAAATCAGTTCTTCTTGGTTCAAGAATCCGAAAAGATGGGACTTTTCGTGATGATTAGTGGTGTTTCTATGAGGCTTATGCTCCTCTGTGTTTCTGGCTTTTGGGTTTTGCCGGCGGAAGGTGCTGGTAGAGAAAGTTTCTCAAGAAACTCTTCTTCTCCTCGGCCCAGCTCTGTCAACGTCGGAGCTCTGTTTACTTATGATTCTTTCATTGGAAGAGCAGCTAAACCCGCGTTTATGGCGGCCATTGAAGACGTTAATGCTGATCAGAATATTCTCAGGGGAACCAAGCTCAATATTGTCTTCCATGACTCAAATTGCAGTGGATTTGTTGGCACTATGGGAGGTACTTTTTTCATATACTATTCCTGAAATTTGTTTGTGGTAGTCCCCCCAATGAAGTTGTGGGTTTAGTAGTAGATTAATGAATCTGTCCCTACTATTTATCCTTTCCAGTTGTAGAGTTTGTCTTGTTGATAAACCTCCTCATGGGTTACTTTGTTTCTTCTTGATATTTGGGTATGAGGAAGGAGATTGGTGATAAGTTTTCTTATTGTGTAGCTTTGCAGGTAATGGAGAACAAGGTGGTTGCAGCCATTGGTCCACAATCTTCAGGAATTGGTCACTTAATCTCCCATGTAGCTAATGAGCTTCATGTACCTCTCTTGTCATTTGCAGCAACTGACCCGACGCTTTCTTCGCTACAGTACCCTTATTTCCTTCGAACCACACAGAACGACTACTTCCAGATGAATGCAATCGCGGATTTTGTATCCTATTGCCGGTGGAGAGAAGTTGTTGCCATCTTTGTTGATGATGAGTATGGTAGAAACGGGATCTCTGTATTAGGCGATGCTTTAGCTAAGAAACGTGCCAAGATCTCTTACAAGGCTGCTTTTAGACCTGGTGCAAATAACAGCTCACTCCATGACTTATTAGTTTCTGCTAATCTGATGGAATCTCGCATCTTTGTTGTTCATGTGAATCCTGATTCAGGTTTAAACGTCTTCTCTGTCGCCAAGTCTCTTGGAATGATGGGAAGTGGCTATGTCTGGATCGCCACTGATTGGCTTCATACAGCTCTGGATTCCATGGAACGGTTGGATCCCAAAACTATGGATCTCTTGCAAGGAGTGGTTGCTTTTCGCCATTATACGCCTGAAAGTAATGAGAAAATACGGTTTAAAGCAAGATGGAAACACCTTAGATCCAAGGAGAGTTCAGGAGGTGATGATGGCTTCAACTCTTATGCAATGTATGCTTATGATACTGTTTGGTTGGTAGCTCGTGCTCTGGATGTTTTCTTGGGCCAAGGCAATACAGTGACTTTCTCCAGTGATCCGAATCTGAGGAAAACCAACGGTAGCAATATTAAGTTAACAGCACTTAGCGTCTTCAATGAAGGGGAAAGGTTCCTGCAGGTCATTCATGAGATGAGTTATACAGGTCTGACCGGAAAAATCGAGTTTGATCCAGAGAAAAACCGGATTAATCCAGCATACGACATTGTAAACATAAACAGTAGAGGTCTACACAGAGTTGGCTACTGGTCGAATCATACAGGTTTCTCAGTAGAGCCTCCTGAGACATTATACTCTAAGCCTCCAAACACATCTGCAGAACATCAACGCCTTAATGAGATCATATGGCCAGGAGGAGTAACAAAGCCACCTCGGGGTTGGGTATTCCCTGACAATGGAGAACCGCTCAAAATCGGGGTGCCTAACCGTGTGAGTTACAAAAACTATGCGTCTAAGGACAATAACCTGCTTGGTGTTAAAGGATTTTGCATTGACATCTTTGAAGCTGCGGTTCAGTTGCTTCCATACAGTGTCCCACGTACTTATATACTATATGGAGATGGGAAGAGGAATCCTTCGTATGATAATCTTGTAAATGAAGTTGCTGCAAATGTGAGTTTCTTTCATTTACTCAAATAAGTACAATGGATACCATTGTAACCTTTTTTGTCTGTTTTATGTCTCTAGAATTTTGATGTAGCGGTTGGGGATATTACAATTGTTACAAACAGAACCAAGTTTGTAGATTTTACGCAGCCATTTATGGAATCAGGGCTTGTAGTGGTAGCTCCAGTGAAGGGAACCAAGTCTAGTCCATGGTCGTTCTTGAAGCCATTCACTGTAGAGATGTGGGCTGTGACCGGACTGTTTTTTCTCTTTGTGGGAGCAATCATTTGGATTCTTGAACACCGCTTTAACGAAGAGTTTCGTGGACCTCCTAGGCGTCAAATCATCACCGTTTTCTGGTTAGTTCCTAACATAAGATGTAAATTGAAACAAAAACTCAGAAGTTATGTTTAAACTGAGGCACTAAGGCTTTGCCACTTCTTTTTTGGTCTTCAACACGTTGCAGGTTTAGCTTCTCAACAATGTTCTTCTCTCAAAGTACGTACGCCATTACAAACTGGAACCTACAAAATATCAAGTTTTTTATATTCTTCTTCTTTCAGGGGAGAACACGGTGAGCACTTTGGGGAGGTTTGTGCTACTCATATGGATGTTTGTGGTTCTGATCATCAACTCAAGCTACACGGCCAGTCTCACTTCGATCCTCACCGTTCAACAGCTAACATCCCGGATAGAAGGAATGGATAGTCTAATAACAAGCAACGAACCCATTGGAGTCCAAGACGGTACCTTTGCATACAAGTATCTGGTCAATGAACTTAACATAGCTCCATCAAGAATCATTCCACTTAAAAACGAAGAAGAATACCTCTCTGCTCTTCAACGTGGTCCCAGAGGCGGTGGTGTGGCAGCCATAGTCGACGAGCTTCCTTACATCAAAGCTCTATTGTCAAACAGCAACTGCGAGTTCCGTACTGTTGGACAGGAATTCACCAGGACAGGCTGGGGATTTGTATGTAAAAAACCGGTTTGGCTTCAACTCATTTTGTTGACCCTCTTAATAAACTTTTTTTGCTTACCGATTGTTGCAGGCTTTCCAGAGAGATTCTCCTCTAGCTGTGGACATGTCAACGGCGATCTTGCAGCTGTCTGAAGAAGGAAAACTGGAGAAGATCCGGAAGAAATGGCTTACATACAGCCACGAATGCTCAATGCAGATTGCAGACACAGAGAACTATCAAATCTCTATACAGAGTTTCTGGGGAGTGTTCTTAATATGTGGTATAGTTTGGTTCATTGCGCTCACTCTCTTCTGCTGGAAAGTTTTCTGGCAATGCCAACAGTTAAGATCAGAGGAAGAGAGTGATGAAGTAAGGGTGAGCGAAGATGCAAGTTCTTCTAGATCAAGGAGAAGTTTGAGGGCAGGAAGTTTCAAGGACTTGATCACAGTTGTGGATAAGAGAGAAGTAGAGGTCAAGGAGATGATTAAGCAGAAGAGCAGTAAGAAACTCAAAGCTAGCCAAAGCTCAGCTGAAAGTCCATGAGTTATAGATAGATGGAAAGAGATACAAATTGTTTAAATGACTACAGATTTAACATTACTTACAAAGGTAAATAGATTTATCATAAGATTTTGTATTGGACCTTAAACTAGAAAGATTAAATGGTGCAGAAAACATTGATTCGAACGAAAATGATTTTCACGAAGAGGGGAAAAAAACGAAACTAATGTGGCCTCCTTGTTTTAAGACATTATGGCTTCCTTCGAGAGTGTTCTCGTGGTTACTATAGAGTCGGGCAGCTACACAATACTTCCTTGCAACTCATACGAAGAGAAGTTAATCTATATATCAATCTATTCTAGATAGTTAGCCATCTTCATTTCGGACTAGAGGGACGTGTGCAGATTTGGTTGTTTGACGAACATAACTTAAATGGAAGACAAATTTTAAATAAAAAGTTAAACAAAAGTCCAGACATATCTAAACGCAAAATGATGTATGAAGATGCGCTGCATCATTAATTTAATGCAATATTTTTTCCCTCTCCATTGGCAATGCAAAACCATCATCAGCAAATAACCTGTGAAGCAGAAGTACAAAGATTTTTTTTTGAGAAAGGAAAGTACAAAAATTTGTATCATGCGCGGGGTATTTGTATCCGTCAAAACTTTCTGTTCATCATATGTATCAATTATTATTTTGTGGTTTTCTTTATTTATTGTATCAAACCTTTATGTTGGAACATTTTATGTGATGAAATTCACCTAATCTTCAAAATGGTTGATTAAATTTGCTGCTTCTCGTTCGAACTGTGCAAGTATATTTTCAGTGAGTATTGGAATCATTCTTGAGTTTTGTTTTGAATTTGTAACTTTTTTATTTTTCATATTTATTTGGTACAACAACTCTAGATCGTTTTTGTAGCATGGAAACAAACTGTTTCATTTGTTTGTAGTAATATTGTGTGACACATTTATTTTCAAATCATATATTTATTTCTTAATTGATTTATTTTATGAAAGTGTAATTGTTTTAATTTTTTTTCATGTTTATTATACTTTGACTGTAATAGTGATTATAATTTCTTTTATTCGGTCGCGAACATATATTATTTCATCTCTTACATGTTTATTTTAAATTTTATTGTTTTTATACATTCTCTTTTAGAATTCTTGTTTTAGATGATGCAAAAAATCATTTTTTAGAATAGAATATTATATAAGTTAGCGTGAAAACCTATAATCAGTAGTTACTATTTAGAAATGTAGATATTTTTTTTTATATATTTTATCATATTTAGACTCCAAATTAACCAGCTGGATACCTAATTATATTTTTTAATATGTGTTATTGATTAATTTTCGAAATATGAATTTATATTGACTTTATTATATTAGTTATTTTTTATAGTAACAATTTACTTTATTTTATTATTTAATTTAATAATTTTATTATTTTATTATTTAATTTACAGATTCGGGCAGCTACAAAATAATTCCTTGCAACTCATACGAAGAGAAGTTAATCTATATATCAATCTATTCTAAAGAGTTAGCCATCTTCATTTCGGACTAAAAGATCTGAAAATTCTCTCTATTATTTCTTGTTACTCTTTACAACGTGATCTCTCAATTACATATACAAACCCTAAAACATTAATAAGTATTTACAATCTTAGTCCATAAATATTGCATAATTATAATATAGTCCAATACCCCTCCCCAAGTTGGAGCATGGAGATCTCGAATGTCCAACTTGGGTAAGATCGCTTGAAAGGGACGTCCTCCTAACGCTTTCGTAAAGATATTTGTCAATTGATCCGTTGTTGGTACATGATTCGTACGTAAAATTCCTGCTTGGATATCATCTCTAATGAAGTGACAATCTCACTCCACATGTTTCGTCCTCTTATGAAACACATGATTAGCTGCAATGTGAAGGACAAATTTACTATCACAATACATATCCATAACACCTAGATGTACAATACCCATAGATGATAACACACCCTTAATCCACTTCAACTCCTTCAGTGCAGTAACCATAGCTCTATATTCTGCTTCAGCTGACGAAAGAGCCACAACATCCTGCTTCTTTGACCTCCTAGATACACCAACCATTCAAAGATCTCCTGGTAATCTGACATCCAGACCAGTCTGAATCACACAAAGCTGTGAGATGAAAATTGCATTCAGCTTTCAGTAAAATTCCCATTCCTGGACACCCTTTCAAATACCGAACAACTCTCAGTGCAGCTAACCAGTGATCATCCCTTGGTTTCTGCATAAACTGAGACAAAATGTGAACAGAGTACGCAATATCAGGTCTAGTCTCAGCCAAATAAATCAATCTCCCAACCAATCTTCGATACTTCTCTGGATCATCAAGTGCCTTCTCTTCAAACCGTCCCAACTGATGGTTCGGTTCCATGGGAAATTCTACTGGTCTACCACCAAGCAACCCAACATCGGAAATAATATCCAATACATATTTTCTTTGGGACAAATAGATACCTTATTTGCTACGTGCCACTTCTATTCCCAGAAAATACTTAAGTTTTTCCAAATCCTTCATATGAAAACAACCACTCAGATATCCTTTAAACTCACGAATAGCTTCTGGTGAGTTTCCTGTTATCACAAGATCATCAACATACACCAGAACATGCAACTGAACTTTAGCATTCACCAACGAAAAAAGTGAGTAATCTGACTTATTCTGCGTAAAACCAAACTTCAAAAGAGCTTCTGAAAGCTTGGCAAACCAACACCCCGGAACTTGTTTCAAACCATACAAAGATTTGTGCAACCTGCATACCATTCCCTTTGTAGAAGCACTGAAACCCTGAGGTAGCCTCATATACACTTCTTCTTTCAAGTCTCCATGAAGAAATGCATTGAGTACATCCATTTGATGAAGTTCCCAGTTCTTTCCTGCAGCAACCTGAAGAACCAATCTAATTGTATTCATTTTTACCCCAGGGGTAAATGTTTCTTTGTAGTCAACTCCTTCTTCTTGTCGATTACCACAAGCAACAAGTCAAGCCTTATACCTTTCAGTCGATCCATCTGCATTATACTTTATTGTGAATACCCACTTGCATTAAATCACCCGCTTGCCATAAGGTAAAAATTGAGTTGACCACGTCTTATTCTTCTCTTGAGCCTCAATCTCAACCCTCATTGCTTCTCGCCAACTTGGACATTTCATTGCTTCAGCAAATGTCCTTGGCACAGTTCCTGCTGTTACACTAGCCAAAAACCCTCTATGTGACTCAGAAAATCTATCACAATTCACAAAATTTTCAATTCCATATTCTGAACTTACATCTGGGTTCACCTTAGATAAAGACATAGGAATAGGAACTACTGTGTTAACCACATAATCACGTAGCCTGACAGAAGCTTCTTTCTTTCTCATACCCCGTCCTAACATTGTATCTGATCCCCTAGTCTCCACATGTGTGTCTCCCGAAGGTTCAAATTGTGTTTCTGTCTCACCATGGGTCACAACTACAACCTCTGTTTCATTCTCAACTACTTCCTTTGAAACAGGTTGTTGCACATCATTTTCAACAGCTCTTGTGGCTTCTTCTGGCATTAAGTCACACACTGGATCCCGTATCTCAACAGCTTCTTCAACTCTTCTTTCAATTCCAGACTCATCCATCAAATGAGGAATATGGCTCAGTCCATCATGTATAGACACGTTTGATTCTTTGTGAGCTTCAAAGAATGGAAATTTATCTTCGATGAAAGATACATCTCGAGAGACAAATTCTTCTCTTGTTTCTAAATCCAACATAGTCCACCCTTTCTTCGCATAAGGATAACCAATAAAAGCACATTTTCTACTACGACTAGCAAACTTATCACCATGACGCTTCTGATTATGAGCATATGCGAGACATCCAAAGATCCGTATATCACTGTATATAGGAGCTTTTCCAAACAAAATCTCATAAGGACTTCTTCCCTTGTGTATCTCACAAGGCGTCCTATTGATTAAATGTGATGCACCCAACACACTGAGACCCCAGAACTCTATAGGTAAACTCGCCTGAAACCTTAAAGCTCGTGCCACATTCAATATGTGCCTATGTTTCCTCTCAACTCTTCCGTTCTTCTGGGGTGTACCCACACACGATGTCTGATGGATCACTCCTAATCTGTAAAAATCGTCTCTCATCTTCAAGAACTCACTACCATTGTCACTCCGTACTATCTTCACTTGCTTATCAAATTGTCACTGAACTAAAGCAAAGAAATCCATCATTGTTCTTTCAACTTGACTCTTGTCCACAAGCAGAAATACCCAAACAGCTCTAGAATAATCATCCACAATTGTAAGGAAGTAAGAAAAACCATTCAAGCTAGGCGTTCGATACGGTCCCCATAAATCACAATGTATCATCTCAAAGGACTCTTTGCTTTTGTTTGAACTCAGCTGAAACTCACTTCGACATTGCTTAGCTTTGAAGCATATGTCACACCCAGATACTCCATTACTTCCACTATCAACACCATGTAACTTCCTAATTACCTTTTCAGAGGCATGTCCCATTCTTTTATGCCAAACTTCTAACGATTCAACTTTAGTTTCTCTCCTAACACTTCGAATATGTTTACTACCTTGAAGAAAATACAGTCCTTCTCTTCTTTCGCCCGTTCCAATCACCATCTGCACACCAACATCATACAGAAGACATCCTGTCTTTGAAAACAATACAATGCAACTCAGCTCATCAATCAACTGTGACACCGAGATAAGACTACACTTCAAATCTTCCACAAAAAGAACTTGTGTCAACATCAACTTCTCTGTCAAAACAATACTTTCTTCTCGATCAGCAACTACACTCTTCCCATTAGGTAATCCAACCAAGCACGGTGAGACTCTGTAGACATCAACAAGAGAGCTCAACGTACCTGTCATATGATGTGAAGCTCCACTATCTATTATTCACTCATCCATGAACCTTTCTTTACTTGACAAATTAGCAGATTCTGATTTTACACAAGAGTCACCCAAAATTTGTTCCCATTCCTCTTTCTCAAATCAGTTTTGGCATGAGAATTAATCTGCATCATAACCGTGTGTGACATAACCAGTGTATGTGTCACTGAACTCTTTTGTCTCAATGAAACGCTTTTCGCAACTTCTTCTTCAACACCTCTAGAATTGCTTTCTACAAATCTATTATTATCA